AGAATAGAATAGAATAGAATAGAATAGAATAGAATAGAATAACCATTGATAAAATACGTCCCATATTTGAAAATATTCTGTATCTTCTTTTTCTTTAATCTTCAGCGTAAGCCTCTCCATTTCTGCCCAGTCCAGTATTTTCTTGATTATCTCTTCTTCAGACGGCATTTCTTCATTTTTCCAAGTGCTGAGCAAATGCAATTCTTGCTGCTGTTAATACATGCGGTGTAAAGAAAATATGCATTTTCTTTATCATATTTTTCTGATGTTATACCGAATAAAGAGTTCTGGTTTAAAAATCTAGATTTGATTCTTTACACAGCATGCTCAAAGAACAAATGACACTGACAACCCTCTTTATTAGCAGAGATTGAACGGTCTATCAAGAATAAATGCTAGAACGAGGGCACGGCCTGCCCAGATTATCCAAAAGCATCCCTCTTACTACAAATCCCGGGATCACGGCATTTATTTATTTATTGTATTATTATTTTTTTTGCCCAGCGTGCTTGACCTGAAGAATCTCAGTCTAGATTCAGAAATATCCCTTTGTCAATATTTCTCAGTCTGAGTTTCAGACCCTGGAATCAGATGCCCAGACTGTAGCCTTTGCTATGAGATTACCAGACAGAGTAAATGGCTGCTTCCCGTGAAAACTGTGGGTCTCTCCGAGGCTCAGTCTGCATAATGGCCTCGTAAATTGAATTATCTTTGCTTCAGTTTTGACAACGCAAGGCAGGATCCCAGGGAGGGAGGGACAATGAGCGCACGCGGGCAGGAGAAAAAGAAGCCAGAGGAGATAAAGGCTATTATGTGCTTTGTGTCTCAAGACCTCATTAAGACTGAAGTGGAGGTGAGAAATAAAAGGGTCACTTCAACTGTACCTTGCTCAATAGTAGCAACTGTGAGAGGGACTAGTGTCCTAGTGGACAATCACTTAGATAGGAGCCAGCCGTGTGCTGCAGCTGCCAAAAAAGCCAGCACAGTGCTGGGCTGCATTAACAGAGGGGTAGAATCAAGATCAGGTGAAGTGTTAATACCACTTTACAACGCCTTGGTAAGGCCACGCTTGGAATACGGCATCCAGTTTTGGTCACCGCGATGTAAAAAAGATGTTGAGACTCTAGAAAGAGTACAGAGAAGAGCAACAAAGATGATTAGGGGACTGGAGGCTAAAGCATATAAGGAACGGTTGCTGGAATTGGGTAGGTCTAGTTTAATGAAGAGAAGGACGAGGGGAGACATGATAGCAGTCTTCCAGTATCTCAGGGGCTGCCCCAAAGAAGAGGGAGTCAAGCTATTCTCCAAAGCATCTGAAGGCAGGACAAGAAGCAACGGGTGGAAACTAACCAAGGAGAGAAGCAACCTAGAACTAAGGAGAAATTTCCTGACAGTGAAAACAATTAACCAGTGGAACAACCTGCCTCCAGAAGTTGTGGGTGCTCCAACACCGGAAGTTTTTAAGAAGAGACTGGACAGCCATTTGTCTGAAATGGTCTAGGCTTTCCTGCCTGAGCAGGGGTTTGGCCTAGATGACCTCCAAGGTCCCTTCCAACTTTATTATTATTAAGAAAGAAAAGGCTGGACAATTTGGTTCGCTTGGTGAAAAATAAGTTTTTAATTATTACTCGTGTGGGTTGTAGAATAAGCTTGAGGAAAGTGCTATTTGGAGCTGTAAAAAAAAACCAAACTCTTACCATCCATACAGTCTCTTTAAAAAAAAAACCTTTTCTTTTTTGAAGACATAATTATGGCACTGGTCAAGATAGGCTGCTGTCCTTTGAACTTGATCAAATCTGCTCGCTGAGGGCCGAGTGACCCTTGATATGAATGTCACAACCCCTTCTGACTTTGTGAACAAAGGAAGCAGCCGTCGTTTTGCTTTCCTCTTTGTAGAATTTAAATCACGGCACGCTATTAAGCAGGT